TTGTTAAGACATTCTTTCTATACTTGAAATTGACTTTGGATTACTAAACGACACAAAGTTTTTTATCTTACAACATTCTATGCATTTGAATATACGAGGTGTGGTACAAAGCAAAATCTGTTTGTCGACTACAAACGTTCGAAAGAGATTGCATTCTCAAAATAGCAGGATGCTAGTGTGTCACAGAGTAGTTTGCCCGCAGCTTTATCACTGTCATCTGCAACACATGTGGAACTCACATGTGTTTTCATATAAAATAGTGAGTGTAAACTTTAAATCGAGATTTTCACAACTCCTCACCCATCTCCATCCTAGAAGCTATTGCACCTAAGTCACACTAACTTCTAGCAGAGCTTTGCTCGAACGCCATCACCGATTCGACTGATATTTCTACGGTAGATAGATACATCTCAGTTATGAACAAACTAAAAGTTTAAACTCAAGAGGATAAGCCATTCTGGAGATATCGATGTTGCAACCATAGCTACTGTGCTGAATTTGAACCGCCCTTTACTGTTATACTTTTCAGTAAAGGACCCCGTCGGATAACTCAACTTATTCACTTAGAAAAACAAAATACATGGTTTTGTAGAGCTTGAAAAGTTACATCTAATGGTATATAAATCAGATTGGTTCCTATTCAATTTCAAGAATTTTTCCTATATGGAATATGAGTTGATATTATCAAATATTTAGATTCAAAGCATTAGACTATCATACGGAAATGATCCTTATCAGAATATGATAACAATTATTCTGTTACTTAGTTTTGTAGAGCTTTTTTCGCTCTACAATTTTACTAATTTCATTCTCTCGTTTTAAAGAAAAAAACTTTTTTTTAATTGAAAATATCAAAATTTTTAATCAAAAATCCAGAATTTCAATTTTATTGATATTTTTGTGGTCCTTGATTATCCTTCAAGACCTAGTGGTACCAACGTGATTTTTTCTCAGAAACTGCGCCTAGTCATGATCTGTCATTAGCCATAAAAACCATATTAAAAATCGAAGAGGCTGTAGAGAAATGTAGTCAACACTATAAAGACCTCGCAGATTTTTTATGTTTTTTTAGACACCGTTTTACCTAAGTTTGCTTAGAAATTATCCGAAGAATTTCATTATATCAGATAAATTCTACCTAGTGGAGATCAGCATACGATCCTCTACTGCCCTCCATAAACATATCGTATCAAAATGAAAAAAAAAATTTTTCGAAAAATCCCCCTACCCCCTCCAGGACTCTTCAGATAAAACCTTTTCCACTGAGTCCCCCTACCCCCTAGGAGGCATTGCAAGTAAGCCACGACTATTTCCTGACAACCTTGCGCAATCGATCCCACCGATTTCGCTGATATTTTCGCAGTAGGTAGGCCTAACATATTTAGGAAGAAACACAAAATTTCAGCTCAAATGGATAAGCCAGTCTGGAGATATAGTGGACACAACTATTGGGGAGCAGGTCACTTTTGGTGCATTTTGTAGTGCCATACTTTTCAGTAGATTTGCATTTCCTCAACAACGATAAGAGCTATATCAGAGATTTTTTACCATAGATACTATCGATTATGGGCTATCTTTTGATGGGATTGAAAATACCTTTTCATTGGAGTTTTTTCGATCGGCATTCTATACCATTTTCAGAAAGTGTGTCTACATATGTATAAGGACTTAGTCATATCAGTGCGGTAGAATCGTTTGAAAATAGTCTCATTTGAAAGAGCATACCAAACTGCATCGAATGGCGTTTTCAAAAGTTTGTAGAAATGAACTTTGGTAGCAAAAATTTTCTGAACAAGACTATGAAGACCAAATTTGGGCCCCGACTCTCCCTATGAAGATTGGCGATTTATTTTCAAACATTCGGTTTAAGTGTTTCAAATGAAAGCCCATGTCAAGAAACCTCGAAACCCAAAATTTCAGTTCATTTGAGCATGTCTGTGAAAAACGGTGAAGGAGTTACTTTTTAAAATTTTATAGAGTAATATCTATAGTCCGTCTAATCTTTCTGATTGTCGTATTTCAGTTAAAGTGTAACCAAAAGTTCTGAAATTTCCACCATAAACTATTCTTATCGAGTTCTTAATATGCACAAAGTTTCAGA